AGGTGATGTTCAATAAATAGTCCCCTCATTTTTCCTGTGCATCCCACTTGCACGAAAAAGCCGGGAAAATGGGCTAACTATCCAGATGACATAAGTAACAAGAGAGAACACTCTTAAGGTCCAGAGGGTCCAGCCATCTAACCATCCCACAGACTTAACAAGACCTACAAGCCATCTTCGGACCACTTGCAGGTTTTGCAATAATTAAGGGAAGAATTCATCAAAGTAGGTACAATTTAATCTAAATACATAACACAAGTCTACTTCTCCTTCTTTTTATTCTTACTTCTTGCTAGGTATAGGAAATATTTGTCTTTGGACAAGTCACATATTTTAGTCTTCACGTTTCTCATCTGCAAAATGGGAATGGTAGTCCTTTTATAGGGGTCTTATAAGGATTAAAAATCATGCATAAGTACTTTTGCAAAATAAGTACTCTCTCAACATAACAAAGGAACATTATTAAAAACGTTTTTATGGGAGGTACCTGGCTGGCTCAAGTCAGTTGAGCATGTGACCCTTTTATTATTTTTTAAAGATTTTATTTATTTATTTTTTGGGGGGGAGAGCACAACCAGGGTGGGGAGGGGCAGAGGGAGAAGCAGACCCCCTGCTGAGCAAGGGTGGGGGGGCATGTATGACTTGATCCCAGGAGCCCGAGGTCATGACCTGAGCTGAAGGCAGACACTTAACCGACTGAGCCACCCAGGCGCCTCGAGCATGTGACTCTTGATCTTGGGGTTGTGGGTTCAAGCCCCATGTCTGAGCCCCAAAATAAAATCTTAAAAAAATATGCTTTTATGAGGCAGAAGAGATATGCTTATTGAGCTCATGCCACTCCCACAAAAGTAACTTAATTCATATTCTCCTAATTACAATTGCTCAAGGGCTTCAAGTTTTATATCTCGGCTAAGTCTTGTCCTTCCAGTACCAGGTGGAGATGCTCATAAACACTTTGCCCTTAGGACAAGGAGCCATTTTGCTGTGGTCTGACCAGTGTCACCCTAAGGAACCACCTTCCACCATAGCCTGCCCCTTGGGAAAGAGACCCAAGAAAGGCTGTCAACATTCTTCACCGCCCCCCACCCCCCACCTCCGTCCCAGTTTGGTTAGGCACAGGGATTTGAACCAAGCAGGACCAATCTGAGGACTCCCTTACACTGTTTCTGGGACTCTCAGCAAAAAGATCTTCTTGTCCCCTAAGGCGGCCAGCTGTCAGAACCGTGTACCTGGAGATTCTTCAGGCCATCTCTGACGCCCTGTGGGGAGGACCTGTCTGAATGGCGCCAACACAGAGAGAGAGAAAAAGAGACAAGGTCACCAGCTCGTCCCAGTTCACCGGGACTTTCCTGATGGTAGCACTGAGAGTCCCATACCTAGGACCTCCCTTTAGCTCTGGGCAAACACGAAAAGTTTTTTTACCTCCAGAGACCATCTGGCAAGGAGTCCCGAATATATGTTTCCACTCTCAATCCAGCTTTATTTGAAGCCCTTTGAGCATCTTAATTCTGTGACCCAGTGGGTTCTGGTTTCTGTTTCAGCAACTCTGAGTTGTGTTTCTACCATTTGCCACTTCAGGAGTCCGAGCACACTCCCAAAGAATGTGCATATTTAAATACAACTCGAAGTTAAAGAAGCAAAATAAATCGAAGTAGGAAACCACGCTATTTTTAGATTTGAAAAATGCAGAAATGTGATCATGCGGTCACTTCTGAGGTTGAGATAATTTATTTGAAGAAGGGGCTCTGAGAAAAAAAATGTATACAAAATGGAAAAAAGGAAGAGAGGCAAGTGAAAACATTCTTGGAAGAAAAACCTCATGGCATGAGAAAGGTCAGAGTAATGCAAGAGCAAAAATTCAAAAGAACAAACTTACACAGTGGTGGGGGGGGTGTAAAAAAAAAAAAGTAGCTGGGGGAAAAAAAAGTAACAGCTTTGCCTTTCCATTGGAGATGGACCGCTCCTGAAGCAGGATCAGAAGACAATTCGGGGGCGCCTGGGTCGCTTAGCGGGTTGGGCCTTTGCCTTCAGCTCGGGTCGTGGTCTGGTCTCGGGGTCCTGGCATCAAGCCCCTCATCGGGCTCTCTGCTCGGTGGGGAGCCTGCTTCCCCCTGTCTCTCTGCCTGCCTCTGCCTACCTGTGATCTCTATCAGATAAATAAATAAAATCTTAAAAAAAAAAAAAAAAGAAGACAATTCAGCCACAGGAATGGACTTGCAAAAAAACAAGCACAATAGCTGTTTCTGCAGATCCTAATCAATTTCACTAGATTTAAAGCAAAAATCTAAATGACCTCTGGCTTTCCACCGTGGGGCAGGTAGGCCAAAGACAGTGCTATAAGAATGACCAGAACCTAGTGTTTTGTAGTGTTGGTCAGAGAAGTGTTGAAATCTGTGCTCCTGGAGGGTTTCCTTTGGGAATGTGGCCAGAAGGCAGAGGTCTAGACAGTCTCTCTGTAAAGGAGCCGCACAGAGTGGAATGAAAGCCCCTCTGCTGGGCCTCCCCCTGAAGGATTCGAAACTGGGGCCTCTTTCCACAAGGGACTCTTTCTGGCCTGTTTTGATACCATATCTAATTCTAATGCAGAATGGAAAAGCTGAAGTGTTGAAAACCAAGATAGAAATCATTTTCTCAGTAGAAAGAGAACATGGAAAAAAAAAAAAAACCATGAAGCTATGTAATTTGGGGCTACCTCTGTGAACATATTTTCCATTGAATCTCACCAACTTCAAACGATTTTCACTTGGTTTTCTGATGTCACCTCATTAGAGGGAACTAGTCATTTTTTTGGTCCTGTTACTTTGATGGGTGATTTGGGGAAACTGGGGCACCCTTGCACGGTCTTTCTAACAATCACTTTAATTTAGGATGATAGGGGGAAGAAAGGAAGGAACTTCTGAGGGAGGAAAGGAACAACACTATCTGTACTTGCACATTTTGCAAAATTGATGTCAAAATTGTACTTGCTTAAGGATCGTTCCTCTTTGCACGTGACATTAAAAACAGAAAGAGCTGCTATCATTGCAAGTTGTCTGGTAACAAAGAACCAGATTCACACACTAAAGCTTAAGTCACAAGGAATGCTCACGCTTAAAACCTGGGAGTTACTTGACTGTGTGACTGGATTTTACATTGCCTTTGAAGATGGAGACATCCAACATTGGCCAGAGTATTTGGTGATTTGTTTTTTTTTTTTTAAATAACTTGTAATTCAGGAAGACCCCACCTACAAGCAGGATATCCTTCTGCTTTCTCCCTGAACCAGGATGCCATCCAGCATCTAAGAAAGGAAGGAGGCAAAGCCACAGGAGATGTCATGTTATCCTGAAACGCGTCCCTTGCAGAATTAGACCTGAAGAATTACTGATCCTGGGCTATGCTTGACTTTCTCCCTGAAGGATGCTCGTGGTGGAGCTCTTGCCTCCAAAGGAAACACAGTGCATTCGCCAAGGCTAATGGGCAACCGAGAATCCAGACTCACCAGCACTTCTACCTTCCTACAAATTCCTCACAGCCACGTGCCGGGTGTTTATGGGGTGCTGGGCATTGTGTTTTCTGCGAGGAAAGGCACAGGTAGAACCAAAGGGGGTCTTCTTATCTGGGCCCTCATTTGGTAGTTGGGGAGATTTGAGGTTCCAAGAGGTTATGTGATTTACATGGAGTGATACAGTCACTCCAAGAGGGCAGAAGCCAGCGAGCGTACCACACCACAGACCTATAGCAAAAATGGTTTCCTCTCCTGGGCTTATCTGCATAACCATCTTGGTCTCCCATCTTGTCTATTTGACTATGGCTGGAAAGGAGAAGGAGAAAGGGACTAAAGGAAAGAAGAAAAAAAAGGGGGGGTGTGTGAAAGATTCTTTTTTCCCTTGGTTTTCTTCTATTGATTTGACATTGAGAAGACTGATTGTACACCTGCCACAGTAATCACGGACATTTAACACCAGCCCAAATGCATGTTTTTCTTCTTTTAAAAAAGTTATGATTCTGGCTTTTGTTAAGCTAATGAAATGCCCTCATCTCAAACCATATGTAGGGAACCCCATATGTAGTACCAACTTTTTATAAATCAAAAGGAAATAGTGAGAAGAGAAAGGGGCTACATATTTATTTGTGAAAATCAGCCACGACATATCTAATGCTCCCAAATTATATGCCAATGATTGATCAGCAGACAAGAGATGAAAAGATGGGGGCCAGACTGAGAGGGAGGTCAGGAGAGCCCAAGCTCCCAGTACAAGAGCAAACCTTATTCACCAGGCCAGTTGCCCTGGGATTCGGAGACCAAACACGGTATTTTCCAGAGAATGCTGGCATGTTTATCGCCCAGCAGGCCCTGCCCTGCAGCCTGAGAGCACCTACCAGTGTTTCCAAGTTGGCAGTCCCCCAAAACCAGAACAATGATTGCTTTTCTCTTGCTATAATAATGCTGTTGAGTTCATCAGAGATCCATTTTGTATTTTTCATTGAGTCCAAAGCATGCGATTTCCTTCAGAAGAAATCCTATCGTGGTTTATGTAGTTTTTAAAAATAATTGATCTGGTCCATTAGTAAAGGTAGAAATGTTTTGATGAGAGAAGAAGGAGCTGCTCCTAGAATCTCATTATTTATCTGAAGTAAAATGTTAAAAAACAAAACAAAACAAAAAAACTCTACACATGTGATATAGTCTATGCATGAGTCCAAATACTGCTCAACTCACTGGGTCTAAGGGAGGCAACTATGGTGTGAAGCCTTATGCTGGGTCATTCATTCATTCATTCATTTCATCACGCAATCATTTATCAAATTTATTGACCATTTACTGTGTGTTCTAAGCATTGACGATGCTGCAGTTAACAAGAGAGAAAATGACCCCAGCATCATGGAGCTAATGATACAAATAAGTAAATATGATCATTCCAAATTAAAAAAAAAAAAAGATTATTCCAAATTCCTTTGAAAGAAGAACAGGATGGGGTGGTCAGCTCAGCCTCTGGGAGCTGTGACATCTGGCTGACCAGGAGCCTGTGCAGGTCTGGGAGTAGGAAGGAGAATGGCTGAGGCAAAGACCCCAGGTTAAGAATGAGTCTGACAAATCTGGAGGAAAGCAAGAACACCACGGCGGACTGAGAACAGGAATGCCTATCGCGGTAAAGGTTTACTAAAATGAACACAAAAGCACACGACATAGCCCGGAAAGGTCTTATGGGCCATGCTAGGCCATGGTTCTGCACATGGGAAAGATTAGAGGGAGAGCTATGGATTTCACTTTTCATCTTCTACGTGCACAAAAAAGGAGCCGGCTCTTGAGAAGCCTTTCTAAGTACAGCACGTTGCCGGCACGTGAAACATGGAAACACACATACCTGGGATCCGATTCAGCGTCACCCAGAAATGCTCATCGGGGCTGAAAGTGTCTTTGGACCAGTGGAGCAAGTCAAGAGCCCGCGGGTCACGGAGGACAAAGTTGGTGAACTCTCTTGACAGAGCGACATAGGCAGAGCCAAAGTAAATGGTGAGGTTATGGGGAGGAGGGGGCTTGAGCGCTGTGGTTCTGATCACATAGGAAAGTTCTTTGCCCAGGTGCTCCCGGTGGACGAACTTCGTCCGTCCAATGGCGTGAGCTGGGGGCAGCACCCCCGGGGTGATGTTTTTCCCTTTAAAGTCTTTCAGATACCGAACGATCTCCTTGTTGGTCTTCAGGGGGAAGTCTTGCCCACACGTGTTGATGGCGTACTTCCAGGGCACCTTGGACTCCGCGAGGTCTTTGAGGCAGTTCAGGTCAGCCTGGAGCCTGGAGATCCCCCCATAGACAACCGGCTCCATCTTGGAGGCCAGGAAAGCATTTGGGAAGCAGCTCAGTAATTGCTCTACTGACTCTTTGAATTCAATGGTCGCCTTTTCATCCACGTGAACGCAGTAGACATTTTGGGGCATGTAAATAGCTCTGAAGAGCCTTGCAAAGGTATTGAAATGGTGATGGATGACCATCATATATGCCAAAGGAAATTCAGCTTCTTCCTTGGATAAAGGGGCCGTGATATAGTGGCTTTGGATCAGGTAGTCCTTGCAAGAAGACATCTCGTACATTATCAGTTTGTTTCTCCACAGGAAGGGCGTTTTGCCTTTGATGAAGGATGTGCAAACCTGAGTCAGGATCAAAGCATCTGAATTATTTGGCCTCTGGAAGCTTTGCTCTCCCCCAAAACTGAACACGTAGAACACAATAAAAATGATCACGCAAGAAACAGAAACTATAAAGAGGTAACGCATCGGAGGCATGCCTCACAGGGGAGCAAGATTGCAAAGATGGGCAGAATCTGGAAGTCCTTCCCCAAACTTACTTTTTCCTCTGAGTTCTTAGTTTGGTACATACTCCAGTCATTCCCAGCCCAAAGGAGACGCTGGGAATTGAGTCCGTTTCATGCTGGGAGTCCAGCTGGCTGGCTCCGTCCCCGTGCTGATATTAGCAACTGGTCCCGCCTCGTTCTCTGCTTCTCAAACCGCCTTTGTCTAAAGCCCAGCAGCAGGTTCCCAAAGCCCAGCCTTTTCCCCTCCTCTGCCTCCCCCCTGCATCTGCTCACCCCCAAAACTCCGGCAACTCCTTTCCGCCTCAGATTTAGCTTCTCAAATATCTTTTCTTTCCGTTCCCACGTGTTTCTCCCTCCCACCCCTTTGTTATTGCCATTCAGGGAATTAGTGCCCTGAAAGCCAAAGTTGAAATAATGCGTTCTGGCAGGAGTGCTGTTTCCTGCTAGTCATTGGCGGGCTGCGGCGCGATCCCCTCTGGCTGCCCCTGGCTATCACCTGGTTCCTCGGCTCTTCCAGTACAATCCACAGCATGTAATGCGGCCTCCATGCTCAAATACTTTCATGAAAAACATGCTCTAATGACAAAAGGGACTAAAGAGATAAGATCTAAAAGAGCAAAACAACAACATCCATCCCGGCTCCTTTGTAACGCTTTCCGCCCCGCCCTAGCCTTTACAAAAACAAGAGATTACTGGGCACCCGCTCCTAAGGGACCTGACAATGCAGGCTCCCTGTGACTTTGAGATCAGGTGCGAGCTCCTCTCCTCCCTTTATGGCATCTATGGAGGTGCTTGTCACAGAATGCTAGGGTCACATGAGCTAGTCCCAAGCTACATCCCCTGATTTACGTAAGGATTTAAAGTTTCCCTGGAAAGAACTTGAATTCTGGCCACAAGTGATGTTCAGATTGAGGGGAGGAGGAGCACACAGGTCTTCAACACCAAGAGAACATCATCAATACTTAGAGAAGCGCGTTGAACCTGCCCAATCAGGCTTATTGACCTTCTAGGAAAGGAACCATGTTTCCCCCCACCTGTAAAGGGTATCAAGCCCTTTGACTTAGGAGCTTCTCATCTTCAACCCCTCACTTTTCTGCCAGCTGCTTTTTATTTTTTAAATATAGATTAATGTATTTTATTTACGATGACTTTTTTTTCAAAGATTTTATTTATTTATTTGACAGACAGAGATCACAAGTAGGCAGAGAAGCAGGCTCCCCACCAAGCAGAGAGCCCAATGCGGGGCTCAGTCCCAGGGCCCTCAGATCATGACCTGAGCCGAAGGCAGAGGCTTTAACCCACTGAGCCACCCAGGCACCCCTATTTACAATGACTTCTAAAGTGCCAGGTCAACAATTTTCCCCATTTTTCCTCATGCTCTGAATGTCAACCTGACACCCTCCGCCCTATGCAATCAACTCAAAGCACAGACTGAGCCCCCACCCACCCCATGAAGAAATAATGTCCTTCAATGGAATTTCTCTCCCTCCTTTTGAAAAGTCTCTACCCTGCTATTAATGGAATTAAGATGACAATATGCTGATTTCCTGCTTTGGCAAGGATAGGAAAGGAGCCTTCCACTGTTCAAGGCACTATGCTCCAAGTGATGGATCTTCTGAGCACAGTATATTGTTTAAGCAAACTTTATGCCCAACGTGGGGCTCGAACTAGCAAAGATCCCCCACCCCGACCCCCCAGATCAGCTGTCTCATGCTCTACTGACCTAACCAGCCAGGCCCTCTGTAGCTTTTCTTTCTGCTAGTTTTCACTGTTCCTACTTTTCACCCTTCCAACTCGTACCTTCTCTTCCTCTCCCCTTCACTAAATCCTCTTCATTTTTTAAGACCTGCCACAAGTACACTCCATGTAGAATCCATCTTCAGATTTTTAAGCAAAGTAGAATAAAGAAAATGTAGCCATTATGTGGGTAAAACAGATAAATCTAATTCTTAGCGTCTTCCACGGAATAAAGCAAAGAAAATGACAGCAAAGTGCATGATCATGGAAAAGGCAACCCCAAGCTTCTCTTTTTCCAAATAACACCTTTAAGTATTATGTTATTGTGTATTTTATTTCAAAACAGAGTCATTCCAGTATCTAGTTTAGCAAAGCTTTTTGGCTTAGAATGAGTATTAATATATTTGCAGCCTGGAAGTGTTCAGGGTTAACCTAATCAGGCCAACAGAAGCTGTTTACATTATTGTTTCCAACCGGCCATTAACACAGGGGTTCAGATCCACACAGGCTTGGGGACAGACATTAAAATGCCCTTATATTAAGACATACACACCAGCCAATCTAGGAGCTATCCTAATGTTTCTGTATTCAATCTATTACTCCCTATGGCATTGTTTGTGTGTTGAAAATACAGCTGTTTTCCCACTGTCCTTTTGGCTGTCCTTGAGCTAGCTAACTTTCCCCATCCCCAGGTTCTGGTACTAAGCAAACCAAACCAAAACCAACCAACCAACCAACCCACAAGAGAACTTTTTAAGAAACTGCGTGTCGAAGCAGAGAAAGGCTGTACTTGCCACCTTCCCTTCCTAACAGGCCATAAGACCCGCGAACTCAGAACGGACCCCACGTGTTTTTCTGCGGCCGAGGCTCAACTGCTCAGCCTTCCCTTCCCTCTCTGCCTCTGACCGCAGCCAAGGACCGGGCTGGCACCTGTAGGCCTAGCAACTGAGCCTTGTGCTCACTCTGGAAGCAATTATTCCCCAACTAGCCAATTAATCAGGCGAGACGTGTTTCCCCTCCCCTGCGGCCGCCTTCAATGCTTGCCCTTCATTCCCTCCAGTTTTAATTTTTTGTCCATTGGCAAAGCATTCTTCCAGCTCTGGGGCTATCTTAGAACACAGCTCCCACATGAAGAGTGTATCCTCTCTTGGAAACGACAGACGACTCAGAATCTCCATGAAATTAAGAAATCATCAGGGGGATGAAAGAAGATGCCCCGACACCTCAGCACCATTAGGCTTTCCGCGTGAAGGGGCAAGATGGCGGAGGACCCAGAGAGGACGGCGCTGAAGGGGGCTGTGGCACTACAGAAATCGTGGCGCACCAGACTGTCGTAAAAGACTGTGCAGAAAAGACTGGGCCTCCATCTTGCCGCAAAGGAGGTCGACCAAGGACATGGTTAGGTGGGGGAGTGCTCCCAGGCAACCCGTGCCAGCTGAGGGAGGAACAAGAGTGAAATAAGTCACAATGAGGAAGGATACGTCAGTATACTGCACCCACTGATAATAATAATAATAAAAATAAATTCATTATTTATGTACTCATTAACGATGTTTTAGAAGCAACCCTGAGGCTTTAATGAGGCCTTCGTCATGTAAATACTCACAGAACATAAGCTGCTGCACCTCTTGAGTTTTTCCTTATAAGAATATAGATAGAAGAAGGATTTAAAGTTCCGGGTCACTAAGGAATTCATGGGCTGAGAATTAGCGGGAAGTCTAGACTTCCTTTTCCACTCGCCCAACCTTGTAATGTAGAAATACGTATGTTACCATATTTATACTATTTTTTTTTTACTTGTTTGTATGTGTTGAATGAATGAATGAATGAGGGGAGTCTACATCCCCCATGTTCCAGTTAAGCATAGGTAATGCACTCTTAACTGGAATTGAGAACAGAACAACTGGTATCTTTTATTTTGACAAACAAAAACTCTGATCAGATTGATTTTATTTTCTTTCTTGTTTTTTTTTTTCAATTAATTAACATCTATTATATTAATGGTTTCAGAGGTCCAGGCCTGTGATTCATCAGTCTTCTATAGCACCCAATGTTCATTACATCACATGCCCTCCTTAATGTCCATCACCCAGATACCCCATCCTGCTGCCCCCTTCCCCTCCAACAACCATCAGTTTGTTTCCTATGATTAAGAATCTGGCCAGAATGATTGATCAGTTAGATTAAATGACATTAAAAAACCCACAACTTTCAATCAAGTTTCTGTGAGAAACCATGCAAAATGTGTTTTCACTTGTGTGTCAAAAGGGTTGCCCAGGGGTGCCTGGGTGGCTCAGTTGTTGAGCGTCAAACTTTGGTTCAGGTCATGATCTCAGGGTCCTGGGATCCAGCCCAGAGCCTGGTTCCCTGCTCAGCAGGGAGTCTGCTTCTTCCTCCCTCTCTGACCCTCCCTTCTGCTCATGCTCTCACTCACTCTCTTTCTCTCTCTGTCAAATGAATAAATAAAAGATCTTAAAAAAAAGGGGGGGTTCTATTAACCCTCACAATATTACTAACAGGGCATGGTGCAAAATCAGGACACTGGATCCTAGTCCCTTTTGTAACTTCAACCAAGTATGTGGTCTTTGGCTCCCTACTTGCTTCATCTTTAAAAAAAGATGTTCTCTGTAGTCTCTTTTAGCTAAAATGAGCGATAATTCAGTATGGGTATGGTGAATCCGCTAAGCAGCAGTGACGGAATCCAGGAAGTGTGAGGAATGGCCCCTGTCCTGTAGGAAATTCCATCTTCACTAGGATTCAAAATACATACAGCTGAAAATACATGACGAGCAAAACACAGAAGACTGTGGATTGGTTCCAAACAAGAGGATATCCAGTAAATGCGATGGGAGCTCAGAGGGGAAAAAGCTCCCTAGGAACTGGAATGGTGAGAAAGGGCTTCCAGTGGTTGGATTCTGCCCCTCAGAACATGGAGAAGGGGCTCCAACTGGAGAGATTGCAAGAGCAAACAAGAACAGAAGAACAAGAGGGGCACCTGGGTGGCTCAGTGGTTAAAGCCTCTGCCTTTGGCTCAGGTCATGATCCCAGGGTCCTGGGACCGAGCCTCACATCGGGCTCTCTGCTCAGCAGGGAGCCTGCCTCCTCCTCCTCTCTCTCTCTGCCTGCCTCTCTGCCTACTTGTGATCTGTCTGTCAAATAAATAAAAATCTAAAAAAAAAAAAAAAGAACAGAAGAACAAGAAAGCCCAATGTGGAGAAATTTCCCAGAGTTGTGAATCTGGAATTTCTCCAGCATAGCAGCAGATTAAAAACCCTCCTATCAGCGAACCATGACCTCAGAGTACCAGTCAAGGTTAGAAGGTGAGCTGCAGGAGAGCCGGGGACATTTTCCCTCTGTTCCTACCATTGTCCAGCAACTCAAACAGCCTTCCCTTGTATTCTGGAAGGTAGGCCATCTGGCACACGCTGCATTCAATGCTCATTGAATGGGTCCAGAATCATCTGGGTATTTGAAAAGTACAGTTTTCAGCAATGGAAAAAGGAGTGTTAAAATCTATAGTTGCCCTTTGTTCTAATTTGTGTATTAGAATAGCAGAGGCTAGGAGAACCCTCCATGATTTGTGACTTTCCTGGTCCAGTATTCCTTTTTTTTTTTTGCTCTTCTGTTTCAGTACACACCTGCAGAGACCTAACCATGAACATACCACACTTCCTCACATACCTTTTCTTTGTTTAATTGCATGTACTTATGCAAACTTCATTATGGTTTCATAATTGTTCTGGGACTGGTTTTTCCATTCTCAATTAACTGCTGTCCTTTGGTTGGGGAAGAAATGGAGGGGACACAAGCTTGAGCAGGCATACAACATTTGAAATGTTAAATAATAGCAGAAAGGGCCCCACAAGGACAGGGTCTGATCAAGTTTATCAAAGTGACATTGAGAGCCTAAGTCCCATGGCAGAAAAATTTGAGTGAATGAGGTGAGATGTTATCATTTCTTGGGCTCACTGATGGCTGTTCTTTGGAAGGTCATTTTTGTGTGGTTTTCTTTGTTATTGAAGCAGGCCAAATGACTCAGGGATTTATTTTTAATTATAACACATAGGGAATTATGTTTTCCCCCTGAGCTAAGGGTAATGCACAGGGAAGTAGAGAATGGTGACAATCAAATTCACTTCAGACGGCCAACTACATAATTCTGTTCTGGTGGCCAGATAATTTGTAAATGGAGGTTTTTGGTTTTCTCTTTCATGATGATGATCACGATGTTAAAGAAAGAAGACATTTCCAAAACACATCTTCAACTAAAACAACTCCGATAACCGAGGAATCCTCTGATGGGGCTCTCTGGGGAAAAATCCACCTTCTCCTGGGACCCAATCATTTTGCTTTCTATACCATTCATCTAATTAGCAACAGAAGAAGTTGTTGTCTAGATCACAGAAGCCAAAGCATTATTTCAAACTCTTCTCTCAGTGGAAGGAAGAAGTTTAATATGTAGAATTTTAAGACCTAGAGAGTAGGTCCAGAGGACGGTCATCCTATACCATATCATGGTGGTGTACGCTGAACGGCTCTGCATCTGATTTTGATGGAGCAAAGGTATCATGGAAACGCTTCCTGGATGTTAAGGGAGGCGATGCAAATACTTGCAAAAGATATATTCAAATAGGCAAATGCCCAAGCATGCGCAGATAGGTTGCAATGTTCTGGTAGCATAAATACACCAATTGGAAATAGCAAGAGCCTGAAATTTGGAGGCTTAGAAAATGAAATTACCCCAAATAAATCACAGCAAATTAACATTCCAAGAGGAAACTAATCACTGAATTTACATGTGGAAGTGAATTGCTAACCCTGGAAGAACCAAAACCTTTGTTTCTAAAAGTATTCAGCCAGACTAGGTGTGTCTGGGACTTGGGGATAAGGATTGTCCTGATCAAGAGTATGCAAACTTCTGTGAAGCATCCAGTCCTCTGGACGGGCTGTGAAAATACAGGTTGTAGGGTCCACATCCCAAGTGGTCAATAAGTTTCAGGTAAAACTTAATAATCTTCATTTATTTTATTTTATTTTATTTTTTAAAGATTGATTTATTAATTTGAGAGAGGTGGGGAAGGGTAGAAGGAAGAGAGAAAACTCAAGCAGACCCTGCACTGAGTGTGGAGCCTGATGCAGGGCTTGATCTCACGACCCTGAGATCACAACCTGACCTGAAACCAAGAGTTGGATGCTGAACCGACTGAGTCACCCAGATGCCCCCAACAATCTGTGTTTCTTTTTCTTTCTCTCTTTCTTTCTTTTTTTTTTTAAGATTTTATTTACTTATTTGACAGAGAGAGAGATCACAGGTAGGCAGAGAGTCAGGCAGAGAGAGAGGAAGAAGCAGGTTTGCTGCTGACCAGAGAGCCTGATGCGGGGCTCGATCCCAGGACACTGAGATCATGACCTGAGCCAAAGGCAGAAGCTTAACCCACTGAGCCACCCAGGTGCCCACAATCTGTGTTCTAAAAAGCTCTTGGGACCAACTGTCTGAGAACCAATAGGACAGAGACCAAAATTCTTTGACTTTGTTTTTCCCCTATGACTCTACCTGACCTATTTTTCTGTGACTAACCACTTTACCATAAAAAACAAAACAACAATTGCACAATTTGAAAATACTTAATAAACATGAACTCAAATGGTGGATAATCTGATCCCTGTAAAATTTACTATGGAAACCTATCAGCACCCCCAGGAAGAATGGAAGAAAATGGACATACAGAAAAGTGTTAATATGGGTATTTAAGTGAGAAAAGTCCAGGGGCACCTGGGCACCTCAGTCAGTTAAGTGGCTGACTCTTGATTTCAGCTCAGCTCACAGTCTCAGGGTCATGAGATAGGGCCCTGCCTCAGGCTCCTTCCGTCCCTGCTCAGCAGGGAGTCTGCTTGAGATTCTCTCTCCCTCTTTGTCCCCACCCTACCTCCCTCTCTAAAAAAGAGAGTGGGGGGAGAGAGAAGGCCTAGTTGCCAGGGTCCTGCCCCAAATACCTTCTCTAACTTACTGTATACAGCAAGCACACCTGTGCATAATCCCAGTCTCCTGCAAAATATGGAACAGGATTATTTACTGACAAACACTGATGTTTTGGGTATCTGATATGCCATAAATTGACTTAGAGGCAGGGTATAGGAGAGAGATTTAAAAAACAACAGTTGGAAGTAGCAGGCTGAGACGACATCAGGTAGCAGGAGATCAGCTAAATAGCTTATCTAACCATTGTGAACACCTACAAATCCAATGGGAAATCGAAGAGAAGAGGAGCAACAATTCTAGAAACAGAAAATGGATCACTTTCTGAAAGGTAGGACCTGCGGAGAAGTGAATCCAAAGTGACGGGAAGATAGACCGCGGGGGGAGAGGCCAGCTCCCGGCAAGCAGCGGAGCCATGGAGCACAAAATCAGGACTTTTAAAAGTCTGCTACACGGAG